TTGGCTGCCCAGAGCCCTTGTTCCCTTGCCTGGAGAGCTTCTATAGCAAAGCAATTCCCAATGAATAATTAGGCAGTCACTTCCATGGAAGTGAACATTATGTTGTTTAAAATTGCAGGTTCAGCGTGAGGCTGATGGCACAAAAGATTACAGGCTGAGCAGGATCAATCTCGGTGTGTTTGTGCCTGAAATGACTATTTCAAATGACAGAATTATTGCTGTTTTTCCCCAGAAGTTTGTTCCTCTGCCTTGTTTGTGTGGGCTGCAGTTAATTTGCTCAAAGCTCCAGCTCAGCACAACAGTGGAGTCGGAAGGACTCTGTCGCTGGAGGACTTTACTCTTCGCCCAGGCTTTTATGGCCTTGGCCCTGGATCAGGAACCTTCCCAGCCCGGCACAGAACATGGGAATGAGGCAGAAACGGGGGATTTGGATGTGGCTCAGAGGAGCACATGGCAGGGGCTTGAGTTTTTGGGAAGGGGTGCAAGGTTTGAAGGCCAGTCTCTTGCCTTTTCTGGTTCAACACTTCAGATAACACCCCTGACCAGTGTCGTTGTTCATTTGTGTTCTCAGATACCCATTTGTTTATTGGGCTTGTAACCAGCTTCATTTTTTTGCGTGGGTACTTCTCGCTGTGTCTTTTTGGGTTTATTTGCTCCCTCAAAAACAAAACAAAAAAAAATCAATTTACTTAAATTAGTGATTAGTTGGATAAAGTATGTCGTTAAAATCACAGGATAATAGAATCCCAGAATGATTTGGATTGGAAGGGATCTTAAAGCTCATCTCACTCCACCCCCTGCCATGGGCAGGGACACCTTCCCCTGTCCCAGGTTGCTCCAAGCCCTGTCCAGCCTGGACACTTGGACACTTCCAGGGATGGGGAGTCCACAACCCAGAGACACAAATGTGGCTGCCTTCTTGTTGTAAGTTTATGAATTATTGGTGAAAGTTCTCTTTTAGAAATATTAAAATATTGTTATACTTTCCACAGTCATGGTGAATTCAGTTCATAGTGCTTTTTAGGTTCAGGACTCGATGCAATTCCCAAGACTTATTGTAGGGAATTGGAACTTAGTTAAGAGTTTCTTCAGTTCTTCAATGTTCTTGTGCTTCCCTCAAGAAAAGTCCCTGATCCCAAATACCTAATTTCTAGTGCTGAAGCTGCTGACACATAAGATAGTTTGATTAGGCTGTGTGAATTCCTGCCTGGAACCAAAACGTTTTCTTTGTTTTCACAAGAAATAACTCAGGTTTTATCCTGCACTGACTCCAGAAGAATAAAAGCTTCTAAAGCAAGAGGGATGGGATATGTGTCCCAGCATCAGGAATGCTCTGCAGTGGGGTCATGACTCATCCTACCCCAGCCTTGTGGATACAGTTAATTACACATTTGTTGCCTTGATTGGTATTTGATTTGATGCTGAAAGCAGTCAGTGGAAATGATAATGATTTTACTGTTGAAATTAAAAAAAAATTGAGGCTGAGATTCCTGTCACAGTGTATAAAATATGTTTCCTCTTATGTAACATTAATATATAAAACACAATTACTTTGCTGTCAGATACCGCAGTTATAATGACTAATAAAATAAATGCAGTGTCTGGGAATGGAAGTTTGTCAAATTGTGCTTTAAAGTCACACTGAAATCTTGCTTTCTGCTTAGTCTGGTCTTTTGGTCTTTTTATTTTCCTCTTCCCTCTCGTTTTCCTGGTGTTGGTGATCCCAGGAAAGGCGGAGGAGGTTTTCCATGTACCCTAAAGCCAGGGAGTTTGACTGCCTTGGGCAAGTGAGTCCATGGCAGTGATTTTTATCAATTAACTAAACTCCCTGCTAATTAACAGGGTCATCTATGGCAGTGCTTGCCTTGCTGCTTTTCAGGGGAGGTGTCTGCTAATTAACTGTGGGATTTCCAGCCAAACACCCTTTCATTTGGGATCCACCATTGCTGCTCTCTGTCGCTCTCCTGTAACAGTTGTGTAATTGCTGACAGCTTTGATGAATATTAGGGAAGTATTTAATGTGCTTTTGACTTCATTGAGTAATTTAATATCTAAGAACAGGGTGTAGAACAAATCAGGGAGCAGGTGGTGAGTGGAGCTGTTGTTGGGCCGTGCTGGAACTGGTTGAAGCCGAGGGGAGAGCCCTGGTCTTGTGTTTCCAGCCTTCTCTGCTGGATCATTCTCTTTGTTTGTTTGGATTTTCCTTTATTGTGGAGGGAATCTGTCAGTTGGAGTGTGATTTTGATGGCTGTAAATCTTCCCTTTGCAGAAGTGCTGGATTTGGGTTTGTTTTGCCAACACGGCTCTGAGTAATGAAGGGATTTTGGTGGAGTATTGAGCAATGTTTAGTTGACACTTTTAAAAAAAGAAAATCCAGCCCTTTCCATGGCCTAGTTTATAGTGACTGAAAAAAACTGGCACAGAGAACATGTACAAGTTGAAAATTAAACAGGTTTGTTTATAGTAGCCACGATCCAGTATTTAGCTGCCAGGATAAAAATAACCAGGACATGTGGCTGCAACATCCCAAGAATCTGCCTCTCAGCTGGGAAGTGGGATGGGCACGGCCACAGGGGTGGCACAGCCAGCCTGGGGTGCTGGAGTTCACACAGGCATCTGTGCTTCTCTCCCAAATCTGCTAAATCCTGGTGGCACATTTCCCCCTGGAAATGTTCAAACTTCTGGTTCCCGCTGGTGAAAATCAGAAAATGGGAGGTGGGGGTGATGAGCAAGCAAGGAGTTACTCTCTTCTCTCTTCCTCAAAGCCAGGTGAGTGGTGCTTGCTCCCTGCCCCTCTCTCCTCTATCCCAGGGACACCTTTCCCTGTCTTTCTGTATCCCAGTGCATCTTCCTGGGGCAGAGCCAAGCCCAGCTCAGCTGAGCAGTGCCCGTGGCAGTGGAAGCTGTGCCGGGAGCGGCTCTTTCACAGTCTCTGGGAACTGCTGCTCTGGTTGCTGTGCTTCCTTCTGTGCCTCACTTCTTTCTGTTCCTTTTCTCTCACCCTTTTTTAAGCTCAGGGCTGTGCCTTGTGCTTTTTGAGGGCCAGTGCAGTCGGTGCCCTTGTCTGTCCCCAGTCCTGTAGCTGGGACTGGCAGCGCTTGCACTAAAAATCAGGGAATCCCAGACTGGTTTGGATTGGAAGGGACCTTAAAGCCCATCTCATTCTACACCCTGCCGTGAGCAGGGACACCTTCCACGATCCCAGGTTGCTCCAGGCCCTGTCCAACCTGGCCTTGGACACTCCCAGGGATGGGGCAGCCACAGCTTCTCTGGGCAACCTGTGCCAGGGCCTCCCCACCCTCACAGGGAAGGATTTCTTCCCAATATCCCATCTAACCCTGCCCTCTGGCAGTGGGAAGCCATTCCCCCTTGTCCTGCCCCTCCTGACCCTTGTCCCAAGTCCCTCTCCAGCTCTCTTGGAGCCCCTTTAGGCACTGCAAGGGGCTCTCAGGTCTCTCTGGAGCCTTCTCTCCTCCAGGCTGAACCCCCAGCTCTCCCAGCCTGGCTCTAGGAGAAACCCCTGTTTTCAGGTGTGTCCAAATTGGACCCAAGCAAATACCTACAGCAAGAGCTGACTGACTGAACTCTGCTTTGCTGGAGACTCACTTCTTATTATATTTGGGAAAATGCTTGACAGGGGTTATGACATCCCTTATCAGTTTCTAAACAGTTTTGATTTCTGTGGCTCCAGGGTGGTTCTGGATTGCTGGGTACAGAGCTCTTAAAAGGAGATATTTTCAAAAAAACAACTTAGCAGGTTTTCATTTGAACTTCCTATGATTCTAGAGGAACAACTGGTTCTTTTATCCCTTGAAAAGAAAGGATGAAGTGCTGAACCTATAAAAGACAGAGGACCCTTTGCCTGTCGTAGCAGCAGGCAGTGCTGTGATGACTGAAGTACCAGTGGTGCTGCAGTTCAGTGTTCCTGAACAAAGGATTGGGATGCTGCAGGTGTCACAGCCTCCTCAAACACTTGGACAGGAGCCAGAGGGTTCCTGGGGGAGGAGGATGGTGGTGCAGGGAGTTGTCCTGCTCTTGAGGACTGTCACAGAATCCGAGTGGTTTGAGTTGGAAGGGACCTTAAAGCTCATCCCATTCCACCCCCTGCCACGGGCAGGGACACCTTCCACTAGCCCAGGTTGCTCCAAGCCCCATCCAACCTGGCCTTGGACACTCCCAGGGATGGAGCAGCCACAGCTTCTCTGGGCAACCTGTGCCAGGGCCTCCCCACCCTTTACAGTAAAGAATTTCTTTGCAATCTCTACTCTCACCCTGCCCTCTGGCAGTTTAAATCCTGCCAAGATGCTCTGGCTGTCGAGGCACCCCCAGCCTGGGTTCCCCTCTGTGCCCTCCCCTCTGCCCTCAGCTCTTCCCACAGCTCGTAGCTGTTCTTTGAGTCATGCCCCCCGTGTGCCACCTGCTCTGCCCAGCCTGTCCCCTCCATCCTGCCGCTGCCAGGTGGCTGGGGGAGGACTCGAGGGCACGGCAGGGCTGGGGGATGTGGGACAGGATGTTGGGCTGGTTCAGAGGGACTCTGATACCATCAGAACCTGCTGCTTCTGCTTCCTGTGCCTGGCACTGGCGTGTGCTGCAGCTCCCCGGCTGCAGGGCAGACACACAGGCTCTGTGTGTGCCCTACAGGAAAGAAACCCCATGGATCCCTAAAATAATTCTACTTTTCAGGTGTTGTGTTGAATTTTACCAGGGCAGTGTTGATCAGGAGTGATGGTTTTTCCCCTTTAACATCACTCAGGTTGTTGGGCTGCTCTAAACATCCTTTTCTTTGATAGTACTTTCTGTAAAATGCACACTTGATAGAATCTCAAACAGGGTTAGTTTGACCTCAGTTTGTCTTTTTTAAGTGAAGTCTTCCACGGAGCATATTGGGAAGGAAAAGTCCCCAGGAACATGGTGGTTTGACTTAAGCCCTTCAGTGATGAGTTGCAAATGGTATCTTTGAAAGATGATTAATTAATTTGGTATTTTCTGGTTTTTTTCAGTCCCTTGCGGGGAGCCTGGAGGACCTTCAGTAGAGCTGCTAACACTGATGAGAGATCTTTTATGCCAAGGTAGGAGTTTTTTAGTGTTCTCAGAATATTTCAAATGCAATTTCTGTGAACATAGGAGTTGATAATGGATAAGTGAAGTTGTTGCACCCACTCTCTTTTTCAGTGCTGTGTTCACTTATCTTTGTTTATGCTTCTCTCTCCTCACCACCCAAATTGTAAACTTCTGGATGAGCTGCTGAAACTTTTGTAAGAGGGGCAGCTAATTTTTGCATCAGGTTTCTGTCCTGAAGGGCCTCAGCCCTCCTCCCCCACCACCCTCCCCCAGCTCCTTCCGCTGCTTGGGAAATACCCTCAGAGTTTTGCTTCTTCCTACCCCGATTTGGCCCCAGGGCTGCAGGAGGGTGAAGGATGATTTGTGCATTTAGGAGAGTGCACAAGGCTTTGGCTGAATAAAGATGCAGGTGAGTGGGTGCTCAGAGCCCCATTTCGGGTTACAACCCCACTTGTGTTTGCTTCCATCCTCTGGTCCTTCTCAGAGACCCCCCTGCCTTTCAGTTTTGCACATTAAAACAAATATCCTGCATCTTTTCTTTATTCAGCATCTGTTACCAGAATAGAGCCCTTCACTTTTGCCTCAGGAAGGAGCTGGGCATCTTGGGGCTGATGCTGTGAATAGATAAACATCCATTTCTGTTGCTTCCCTGGCAGGGTTGGTGACAGTTAGCAGCAGAGAAGAGATGCTCCTGTTAAAGAACAAAGAAAAGGGATTAATTCTGATGTATCAGCTGTTTCACAGTGTAGAAGCAAAGTTTTTTGATGATTATAGATGACAGAACCCTGCTGATTTATTACCCTGCAGGTGCTGGGTGGTTTGGAGGGTCTGGCAGGGAAGGCAGGAGGGAGTTGCTGCTGCTCAGGGCAGTGGTGGGTTGTGTGACACGAGCTCTGTGCCCCGTGGTTGTCCTGCTGGAGCTTGGTGGGGCTCTGTGTGCCTGGGAGAAGGGAGCAGGAGCAAGGAGACACACTCAGCTTTTGCTTTATTTCTGCACCTCAGCGTTCAGAACTAATGAGAGCACTTTCACAACATTTACAGTTATTTTTTCCACGCTCCTTAGCCATCATCCTCTTTTTTTTGACTCCAAAGAAACCCTTAGCACCCATAATTTAATTCCATTTTGAAATGGAGCCCTTGCTTCACGGCATGTGACTCCACTCCAGGGAGCTGTGGAGGGAGATGAATGCTGCTGTGTGTGACTGTATTTAGGTGGGCTTCAGCAGTTGCCAAATGAAAAGTTGGCTGGGATGCAGCATAGTAATTTCTTGAGCACTCTATTCAATGTTGTATAAACAGATAACATTAACATACTGGTGAAAGAGCTACAAGATAATTAAGATGTGTGGGGTTTGCAGTAATGAGGCTCGTGTGGTTCAGGATCTTGGTTTCCTGTTGCACCTGAAAAAAAAAAAAAGTCAGCAAATACTGTAGACAAGAAATGAGAAGTTAGTCTTGTACTGCTCCCAGCTGAAACTTTCCCACAAGTGTTTTTTACTATAAATAAGAAGTGAAAGAGTTCACAGCTAAATTTAACCCTTAGCTTGGTCGCTTCCCAAGTTTTCCTTGGTGGAACTGACTGTGGAGCTGGAGGAGGAGGAAGATAAACTGGATCAATAAGTTGCATTTGTGCTTTATAAAAAATGCCTTGCCTTTTAATTTCTAGGGAGGATCAAGGGGAAAATAGTTGTTAATTGGAATTCCCCTCTCCTCCCCATCCGAAATCGTGATTTTTGGAAGAAAGGAAGTGTTACTTCTCAGGGAAATGTTCAAGCAGAAGAGCTCACAGTTCCAGAATTTTAACCAAAACCACTGTAAATGTCCTAGAGTGCCCAGACCTCACTGGCTCTGCTTTTAGACAGTTTCTGGAAAACCCCTTTCAGTTTGACTTGGTTTCACAATTTTCATGAAGTTAAGCAACTGCAGCTCACATGGGCTTCAAGAGTTGGGGAAAAACCTCCTCGAGGTGCTTAAAATGATGGGCTGCACTGATAACTTCACCTTCATTCCCTCTCTGTGGCTTGGGTGAGTGAAGGGCAGCTTTGCTACGTGACTCAGCACGGGCAAGTCCTTTATTTCTGTTATTCTGACTTAAAAATGAGCTTGAAGTCGAGCTGAACTGGACACAGAATTTGCATCTCTCTCCAGCTGCACGTGGGATTTTTTTTGTTTTTGTTTAAACCTGTACTTGTGTCACATTTAGACCATAAAACAGGCTGTGGTTGAGGGCTGAGGGATAAATGAGGATGTTTAGGGAAGGTCTCAGTGTTCAGCAGCTGGTCCTGATGCAGCTCTGGCAGGGACTGGAGCTGGGTGAGCAGCAGCACGTGGGTTTCCTCTTCATCCTCTGTTTTCCAGCTTCCCTTGGGAATTGAAATGATAGAACCTGCCCCCATTTAATGATTATATAAAATCCTGAAACACAGATTGTCGGGGAGTTCTCCACACTGCAAAGCTAAAAATACAATCCCTGCTCTCCGCAGACCCGCTAACGGCAGTCGACAAGGTGATACATTTCTCTATCAAACTCCTTGGAATATGCTTTTATTTTTGAAGGCTGTAGCCAGTGAACCCATAAATCCTGTGGTAACGTTAGTCTGAAATGCCTTTGAGGAGTGGAGCTTGCCCAGGCTCCTTGCACTCGAGGCTCTGAAGCCTTACTTGGGAAGGAAGCTCTGTCTCGCTGGGAAGGGGGAATTCGCTGCTGAGGTCATTGTTTGCCTGAGCTCCGTGGCTCGGGACAGCCCAGCCTGCCTTCTAATGTAAACATAGTGTAAAATGTTTATCACCAGCTTTGTCATTTGCCTTATTTGTCGGGGACTCTGGAGGAGACTGAGGAGTTTTCTGGTGCTGCGCGGGGAGTCGAGGGAGTCGCAAGATTTCCATAAAAAGGCAGAGTCGGTGCTTGGGCGAGCAGAGAGGTTCTGCCTTGGCAGCCCTGTGTTGGGGCTGACCTTTTCCAGAGAGAAAACACTGACCTAAATCCTTCCCTGCTGGGAGAAGAAACCTCTCGGTTGCATCTTTCTGATCTAATTTCCTTGTCCAGTACTCAGTGGTTTGTGCTGTGAAATGCTGAGGCAGCAGAGGATGTGCAGGGGCAGCTGGAGTGGGCACGTGTGGCTGTGCCCTGTTTGTACTGTGTGTGTCCATCCTCTTCCTCTCTGAGCACCATCAGGCTGAGCTTTGGGCATCTCATATAAACTGGGCTGCCAGAGGTGCCACCTGAGCGTCCAGGTGGAAAAATAAAAACCATAACAAAGTATTCACAAAGACATCCTTGTTCTCAGGACTGCCTGGTGAAGGGAGCGTGTTGCTGCTTTCAGGAGACAGTGCCCTGAATCCACCTGTGTTTTTAACTGGTTTTTTTTCCTGCTTTGCAGATTGTTGCTGTCTGAACAGGCCACACCATGCGTGAGTACAAGCTGGTGGTCCTTGGTTCAGGAGGTGTGGGCAAGTCCGCTTTGGTGAGTTCTGGGGAGCGGTTCTCAAACTGACACACCAACTTCCAGCTTTGCAGACCATGTTATTAATGCATTAGGAGATCTGTAGGACTTTTAGTACGTGCCATGGCTTCACTGTTGCGCTGCTGAGAGAGCTGAGGAGGTGTGTCATGATTTTGGAGAGGTGATTAATCACTGTTGCAGTAGCATTTCATGTCTGCTTCCTGCCTGGCTGTTGTGTTGTAAAACACTGAATGTCCGTGGCCAAGTATTAAAAACCCAACCTACACTGGAACAGCAAGTGAAGTCTGGCTGTGCAGTGAAGTAGAATAATGGAATTAGGGGTGGTTTCAGCCCTGCACACCTTGAATGCTGCGTGTTGTCCATCCTGAATGAGCAGCCTGGGCTGAAAAATGAGAATTCACCTCCAGCGTGTGTGCAGTGCAGAGGGAGAAGCAGAGTGATGACACTTTGCACTCCTTAAGTGCTTGTGTTTGTTTCTAAGAAGAGGTTTACATAGCAGAGTTGATAGTCAAGCCTTGTAAGAGGGATTCCTGTCACCCATTTATCACTAATCAGTCCAACAGCTCCCTGCAACAAGAAAGGCAAAGAACTGGTCAAGTGTAAAGTTATCTCCAACAAAGAACTGCCCTGTGTTCCTTGTCACAGGGGGTGATAGTGGCTGAGCAGCCTTTCATGTCCTGCACCCTTGTTTATTCTGCTGATACAACCAGGTAATAATCCTGGTAAATCAGCTGCAGAATGCAGATGAACAGGAGGAAAGATTATTCAGTTGTGTATCAGATTTGAGGTACTCTCTCAGAGATCCCATCCTAATCTTCACAAGGTGGAAGCATAATTTTTTTTAAGCTCTCTTCTTCCACAGCAACTTAAGCAATCTGTGTTACTTTTTGCACCAGCACCTCCTTGATTATCTCACTTTTGTTATGTAGCATTGACAGACTCACTGGGTAAAAGAGGGCACTTGTTAATATGCTGTACATAAGAATTACTCAGCATCTGACATACCTGAATTTCCTTATTTGCCATTTGAAGTCTGAGTCAGCACCATCACTGCCCTTTTTTAACAGCTGAAATGCAAATACTCAGTCTGGTGAACAAAAGTTAAATTCTTTTTGACAGTCTGGGTGCTAAATCAGCATATTTTGTAATTCATATGCCACATAGATCCATTATGTTTATAACAGCACACAATAAGTGCCAATTAGCAGCTGAGAGTGGATAATATTTAGCTTTCAAGGTAACTGTTTGCTTATTTACAAGGAGTAGTTACAAGGTGGGATTTAAAATAATATGGAGGTCACTTTAAATTTCGTTCTTCCAACTGTATAAACTGAACTGTCCAACAAAGAGGTTGGTGTTGATTTTCAGTTCTGTGTTTTCATGAGAGTGGGGATGACAATATGATGTTGTTTTACTGCAGATCCTCCTTGTTGTTTTAACTCTTCTGTGCCAGTATGATGCTGATTGTGCTTTTGGTAACGATGGTGGAATAGCAGAAAGCTTTCACACTTATTAAGGCACAGTTATTTTGCAACTTTTGTTTCCTGTTCAGCAGTTTTCTCCCCATTTCTGAGGCTAAAAATGCTCTAGAGTAGCAGTGGGTGACAGTGTTAGAAGAGTGTCCAGTTGTTCAGAGTCTTACTTAGAACTGGAAACTAAAGTTTGGATGCAGAACCCCAAACTAGGGGAAAGTTGTGTAAGTCTTGGAGCTACACATAACCCAAAACCACCTCAGACTTGTGTCTTCTCCCTTGGCCTTTCTTTTCAGCTATAATCAATAAAAATAAAGTTCATCAGAGAGTGACAATCTTACATAGCAAAATAGGCTGTGGATTAAGGTGAATATAATCATAGGTGAATATAATCATACTTAGGATTGCAATTGTTGTCTGTGTGAACACACAGCACCAGTTGAGAGGACAAAAGTTAGGACAGTGATTTATCAGCAATAACACATTTTGAGAAGAGAATACATGAATTCAGGTAATTTTCATTCAGTGTAGTGCTGTAATTGCAGATATAAAATAAATCTTGTGGGTGTTACAGAAGAAAGGTTCAGTGTTGTGAGTGGTTTGTTGGATTCTCACACTCAGGGCTCACAAAGCTCCCAAAATAAAGTGGTGCAGATGTGACCAACTCCAGTGCTCATGTGTGAGCCTCCTGGCAAAGCCTCCTGGTCAGCAGCTGGGCTAACCTAAATATCCTAAAATGCTCAGTAACAGTCCTAAAATACAATCTGTAACCTACAATTCTTGCTGTGGGGTTTTATTGTTGATGTAACCCCGTCATCCACATTCAGTGGTTCCTTACTAGGATGATTTTGCTGAGATCTCTTATCTCAGGCAAACTGGGACAGCTGTTCAGTGTGACAAGAAAATACCAGAGAAGCTGAGACTTTGATCATTAGAGTGTAAAATATGTTTATTTAGTGATATAGAATGATTTTTAAATGGGGTAGATTGTCCTAGAAGTCGTTTCTTCTTATGTTAAAAGAAAGCAAATCGTGAGGAACTACTCAGTTTCCAACAAGGTGTGTGATAGATGAGGGAATGGCTGTAAGCTGAAATAGGGTAGATTTAGATTTTTTAGGAAGAAATTCTTCCCTGTGAGGGTGGGGAGGCCCTGGCACAGGTTGCCCAGAGAAGCTGTGGCTGCCCCTGGATCCCTGGAAGTGTCCAAGGCCAGGTTGGACGGGGCTTGGAGCAACCTGGGCTGGTGGAAGGTGTCCCTGCCCGTGGCAGGGGGTGGAACTGGGTGATCTTTAAGGTCCCTTCCAGCCCAAACCATTTTGGGATTCTTTGTTCTCCGTTGTCTTCTGCCCAAACAAAACACGATTTCTTTAAACAGGGAGTGAATTTGCAGAGTTTGGGTATAAAACTTGTGGAAAGTTCAGTTGGTGTTTGGTGTGGTTGTTGGTTTTCCAGAGGCAAAACGAAGCACTGGGATCTCAGCTCTTAGTTTGACAAACAGTTACCAATATCAGTGAAATATTCAGACACTCCTGTGCTGTTCTACTGCAAATTGTTGTAGGTGAGGGTGAAAAGGGAAAGGGAGCTTTGCCTACAGAGGAGAAGGAAAACTGTGGCCAAAACACCCTGGGATGTCCAGAGCGGGGCCACATCCATGTGACAGCTCGGTGGGAAGTGTTTAGAGTAAATTTGCTTTGAATAATTATATGGGGAAGAAAGATTTCCCCTTTGGACTGAGTGGTGTCTCCTCCTTTAATGGTTTAACAGAGATTGAGTGGCTGGAGGCTCTCCAGGTGTCACTTGTCTGTGCTCTGGGGGTTTGATCCAGAGCAGCCCCACTGTGGCTCTGGGATGATTTGGACCAAAATGTGGATTTTCCACAGTGGACAGGTTGCCAGTTCTTCTGATGGAATTTCAGGTCTTCCATATTTGGTGGGTTTTTGTTCTTCTGAAGTCCCAGGCACTGGAGTAAAGGCATTTTTGAGGGTATTAACCTCTCTGAGAAAAGCAAGCAGACAGTTCACATGCAGAAAAGTATTGAAAACGTGCTTGAATAAAGTGATCTTAATGGAACAGAAAATACACAAATTCTATTTTAAAAATTGGAATTTTATATGTCTTTTTTTTTTCCGGTCCCCACTATTAAATTTTAACAGTGATTTTTTTTTGTTACTTCTTGGTAAATGTTTTGTGTTCGGTTCACTTCATTTTTTTTTCCTTCTCTCCTTTCTCCCCAGACTGTACAGTTTGTTCAGGGAATTTTTGTTGAAAAGTATGACCCAACAATAGAAGATTCATACAGAAAGGTAAAACACCATCGTTTTTGTTTCTTTCAAGTCTCACAGAGCTTTCTTTTTAATAATGCAACAAAAGCTTGTCAGGATGAGAAGGGTCTTTTCCGAGGAAAAGCAGAAGGAAAGGGATGCATGGGAAAGCATCAGCCTTGGAAATGGTTTCATGCAGGTAGTTTCCTTTGGCTTTCCAGAGTATTTTACTGGCTTAGGGCCTCTGAATGCAATCAGACAAATTGTGTCAGCTCCTGGAAAGCTGAATTATCAGGGCGTGATGATGCCATGAATTGGGCTGTTTCCTAACTTAGTTAAACAGGAAGATTAAATCTCCATTACTCCATAAAACAAGAGCTTTCATGTTGTGTCTCTGATGACTGGGGGCAGTTTGAGGCTGCAGCTTCTCCACTGTTTGCTGTTTATTCCTCAGAGGTTACTACACCTGCCCAGAGAGAAAGTTGGTGTCTTTTCCTGCACCATCACTGATTTCCACCTGTACTGGGCCATGAGCTGTGCTGGTGGCACTGCCCATCCTCCTGCCAGAGCTGCTAATTGATGCCTGGCAACAGCAACAGCTCAGCCAAAGCAGGGTCAGGCTGTTGCTCAGCCCTGTTTGCTGTAATTTGATTTATAGTTACTTCTTCAAGACAGAAGTCTGTCAATATTTGCCCTGTGTGTGCTCTGTAGATGTTGTTACACAGGATATATCCCTCTGATATATCAGGTTGTATTGCTGGAGCACAGCACTTGCCTTGTGTTCTCTTTCAGGAATGGCTGTTTTGCCACTTAATTCAAACATGTTCTGCTTGCTTTGAAGGATATGGAATTCTTTGGGGCTGTTCTGGATGCAGGGTTGGAATTGCTGAGCAGGAGTCCTTGTCAGGATCCCTGAGCTGTGGTTCTCTACTTAATTCCATCCACAGAGCTGCTTTCTTCACTGCACTGATGTCAAGTGACCCATTGTTTTAGGGATTAGCATAAATGTCACCAGCATTAAAGGCACCAAAACATAAAACAAAAAAACGTTTTTGCCCCGTGACAATCAAGTGTAAATTGTGGGATCAGTTCTGCTGTTAAATTTACTTGACTCTCCTGGAAAATTACCCTCGTTGGATCTGAGAAACTTCTCAGTGAGTGGAAGATTTGCAAAGTCTGACTGTGAGGGGCCTGAAATATTTTGCTTTTTCTTTTCTTCCTTTCCTCCCTTCTCCCCCAGCAGCAAAGAAAAATTCAAGTTTTAACGTCCCTTGATTTGGGAGAGTGGATTAAGTCGGGATGTTTGCAATCTCACTTAAGTTGAGATGTTTACAGTGAGCTGCTCATTTAAGCCTTTATAATGAAGGGAGTCCTGGAGCATGTGAGCTGACCCAAATGCCTGGCTTGGGGCATAATTAATCCTCTAAAAGCAGTGCTGCTCAGCCCTGGGGAAGTGCAGGTGCCTGGTTTGCTTAGGGAGATCTTTGTGAAGGGGGGTAAAAATGAAGCTGAGATTCCTCCTGCCCGTCCCATTTCAGATATTTTAGTTCTAAGTGTTTTTCTCTTCCCTTTTTTTTTCCCCAGCAAGTGGAAGTAGACTGTCAACAGTGTATGCTTGAGATCCTCGACACAGCAGGGACAGTAAGTCTTGTTTCTTTTTCTGATGGCTGTGGAGTTTCTTTGTTAAGAACGATAATCCTGCCCAAGCAAAACCAACAAATCAGCTGCAGTGATTTACATGGAAGGATTTTGTTAAATAACCCACACCCAGTGTGGTGAATGAGCCCCTCCAGTGGTGGTGCCCCAGTGCTGGGACACAAAGGTTGGTGCCTCCTGTGCCACTCACCTTTTCTCTGCCATCCACTGTCGTCTGGTTTTCGACACTCTGGCACAATTTGAATTCTAAACATTAATTTTTCGAGTGGCCAGAAGCCACAGACACAGACTGAAGCCAATCCCAGGCACAGGAATTGCCTCCCACATGTCACATCAGCCTGGTGGCACCTCCCTGGCACTGCCTGGTGCTGCTTTGGGAGGCCCACGTTGTCCCTCCAGCAGCTGGGGTGAGTCCCTTCGCTGTGCCAGTGTCACCTGCAGCCCTGCAAAGCCCTGGCACTGAGCAAACAAACCCTGTGAGGGTCGAGTGAACATCACAGGGGGGGAGGTCCTGCTCCCTAAAAGTTGGATTTATTTAGAAAGCTTTGAGAATGACCAAGAGCAGAGGCAGAAATCGTCGTCACTGGTGACATTCCTGTCACAGGCTGGGACAAAGGCAGCTCTGAGCTGGGACACAGTGTCCAGCCTGCTCTGGCATTTCACTGCATTGAACCTCTGAGCCACTGTCGTGCTAGAGATGGTTGGAATTAAACTGTGCATGTTCAGAGGTGACCGGGCAGTGCCTTCCACGCAGCAAATCCTGAGTGTGTGGCACTGTTTCCTTGGATGAGAGGAAAAAATTTGAATTTCCACTCCCTGTCTGTTGTCTGGGGAATTGGTTTGATGGCAGACTGGTGCTTAACACCTTATCAGCAAACAAATGCAAGATCACTGCAAAATATATCACCCAAATCTAAATACTTTGTGGTTGGGACGTACAGCAGTCCATCTGCAGAGATGTTTATTGCTGCTCTTTGTATAGAAGAAAGCCTTTTGTCTGTTAGGGGGGAAAAAAAACACAAGGGGGAAGAGATGTGTTAATGCTTTTATTAAATTTCCATGCTTCAGTGGATTTCTGAGAGGGGAAAATATGTAAATCCACGTTGTGTGACACTATATTCTCTCCTCCAGTATGACAGAAGTATTCCTTTGTAACTGCTCATCAGCTGCATTCACTGGCTAATTACTTTAAAAAAAAATATTTGATTACAGGAGCAATTTACAGCCATGAGGGATCTCTACATGAAGAATGGGCAAGGGTTTGCACTAGTATATTCTATAACAGCACAGTCCACGTTTAACGACCTACAGGACCTGCGGGAACAGATTTTACGGGTTAAGGACACTGAAGATGTAAGTGGAATATTTTTGTTTTACTTCTGCAAATGGTTAAGAAGTGTTTGTGATAAACGTACAGGATTTGGAGAGCGAAGTTTCTTTCAAAGAATGTTCTTGGTTTGTGTTGAATTAAGTTCCCTCAGCGTTGTTGTTTCAGTGTTGTTGTTTGAGGCCCCACACCTGCTAAGGGGCATCATGAAACCAGATTTTCCCATGTCCTGGAAGTCTGACAGTCTTTGGAATTGGTGGGAGTTGATTGAAAACAACATTATGTCTTTTTTCTCCTTTTAACTCCTTTCCAGTATTTGCATTTTCTTTCTTCTCTGTGCTTTAGCAAAGTTAAGGGAAAATAACAGTTGAGCTCTCTGCTGCTGATGATGTTGTTGGTAAATCTGCAGCTGTGGAGACTTAACCTCACTTTCCCCAAATGTATGAAGGGGAAATTGAAGTCCAAAGCTGCCACATTTCCCAGAGGTCAGCTGGGAATTCCCTGGAGCAGGGCAGTGCTGTTCCCTGTGCCCTCAGGGGCACGTCAGGAGCCAAGCTGATGAACTGCAAATAGAAAGGAGTGGTCAACTTAGTGACCAGGCTGTGCTGTGTCATTCCAGTGTCATTAGGATTAATAGCCTTTTTTTGGAAATCACTGAGTGTTCCTTGGGTTTCATGTCTCCCTGTGAGGGGCTGGGGAGCTGGGCTGGCAGCCTGACCCTGAAGTGGCCCTGGGTCTTGTGGCCTGAAGTAGAGATTCCCTTGGAGTCATGGAATTGTTAAGGTTGGAAATGACCTCTGGGATCATCAAGTCCAGTCAACCCAGCAGCACCACCACGTTCACCACCCTCCCTGCAGCTGTGCAGCCTCCTGGTGTGTGGGCTCTACTTTTGTGGGACTTCAGGTTGTTGTATGAAAATGTGCTTGGCCCTTTCTGTAGGAAAGGAGGATGTTCAGGGCTCTGTGAGTCCTGTGACACGTGTGTGTGAGCAGGGATGGTCCAGCTCTGCCCTGCAGCTGTGCCTGTCCCTGGCAATGCCACTGGGAGCACCCTCACAGCCCGAGGCTTTTCAGCTCTCAACAGTTTTCTTCAAAGGAGGTCACAGAGTTGCATGAACTAAATAATTAAGACTCTTATGAGAGTCTTAGCCAGTGATGCAAGGTTGTAATTTTAGTTGCTTAAAGCCCTTTTTAAAATAAGGAAAAATTACCTGTAGATGGTTTGCATTCAGTGCTGTTGGACAGAAGAAAACCATGCACCATATTTCCAATTCGGGCCCCAACTCCTGGAACTCCCTGGTGGGCCCTGAGTTCCTAAAGGTGGGATGCAGGTGAGGTTCCAGGTGGCTTTTGCCATGGAGGCTGTGTGGGAACCCTCTCTCTGTGTAGGCATCCTCCAAAAGAAGCTGGGAATGCATTCAGGTGTTTGCCCTGAGGACTGGGAAAAAGGTTGCCCATGTTTTTCCACTGACAGCTCCAAAGTGTCCCCTGCCTTTGCCGTGGATCCCTCCGGGGTGGTTTGGGCTGGGCTGGGCTCCCAGAACTCTTGCCCACAGGGCCAGGACACCTATTTAGGCCAAATCCTGGCTAAGCCACGTGTGTTATAGTCAAATCTCCATCCAGGAAAAGGCAGTTGGAGCCACCCAGGGCGACCTCCCAGGGCAGCTGCTTCCCTGGGATCCTCCTCGTCCCATAGCCTGGTTACCTGGCTTTGCAGGGCTTTGCTTCCCTCCTTGGTTTAACAAGCTGAACTACTATTTATGCCAAACTGCTTTTCATTTAGGCAGGGATTATTCTGGGGTAAATCCCTGGTAACAGGAGTCCTGGATTGGCCTCGCTCTCTGGAGGGAATTTGCCCCCTAAGCTGGGCAGGTTCATCCCATAATGGGCACTGTGGCTTTCCTTTTTACTTCAGTGATTTAATTCTTAAAATGCATTTATTTCTTTTGTGATAGGGAGATTTTACTCACTGAATCCAAGCTTGAGAACCTTTTGAATGTTTAAACCACATTCTGCTGAGTTACTACCTACACTCCTTCCTGTAGGTAGTTTCAGAATGTGTCTTTTTTAAAGTCCCAGTGCATAAACCATTAAATTATCTATGTCTGGCAAAGTTTAAATTCCAGTCTTCTACGTGAAATACTAAATGATCAGAAGGTAACTGTCCATCAAAGTCCATTTTTGGCTCTGTGATAAACAATTAATACCTTTTGAAATAACCTTATACAGAGTTTCATGTCTTTCAGACCTATTCTGCTTACCCATCACTTTTTGCCCTATTATTTCACACCTTCATATACTTTTGTTTTTTTGCTGAACAAACACATTTTCACGTTTTGGTATGAGAAAATTTCTCATAACCATCTAGAAAACAGTAAGGAAGGGGATTAAGCTGATATAGATGTAAATATCCCGTAGATCTCTGATTTGAAATGAGCTTTTTTGAATTTTTTTTTCATCTGTACTGTGACTCCAGATTCCTGACGTCGTATGTAAAACTTTAGTTCTCCAAAATAAAAATATGATCATTTTCTAATGGGTTTTAAACACAAAAATGAATCCTGAGCGTGGCTGTGTCGGGAAGAGACTTCAATACCAACATTGAAGTCGATTAAAAACACACACAGTGTGTTGCAAATTACCAAAGGAAGCGGATAATGATTTATTTTCCAGCTGGAAAGTGCTCATTTTCTGTTCAAAGAATGAAATGTCTGAGGAAATGGAGCGGGTGCACACCCTGATCAGCAGTTCTTTAGGGTTTTTTTTTTTCTGCTCCTACCCTGGGTAAGGGAAACAGGATGCTGCTGAGGGCACGTCCTGCTGTGGTCTCGCCTTCAAACCCACCTCAGCTGGGGCTGTCTCATCCCCCGAGGTCTGTGGGGTGCAGGATGTGTAAAAGCAAATTCAGCATTCCACTGGAACCCGCAGTGCTCAGGTGCACAAAAACCTGAACTCTGGGGGGCTGCCCCTCAGGTGGGGTTGGAGCTGGGACCCCCTGGAGGGACAGGCAGTGAGTGGCATCACGCTTGGCATCGTGTGGGTGTGGAAATGGCACCCGAGAGGAGGTGGTTTCAGTTGTTATCGAGAGATTTTGGGGTGTTTTGAGTATTTTTCGTTCGCTTGTTTGAGGTCTTAGAGAATCCCAGGCTGGTTTGGGTTGGGAGGGATGTTAAAGCTCATCCAGTTCCACCTCCTGCCGTGGGCAGGGACCCCTTCCACTAGCCCAGGTTGTTCCAAACCCTGTCCAACCTGGCCTTGAACAGTTCCTTTTCTACCTGTTTGTGACCTGTTTGTGACATGTTTCAGACAGCCGTGGGACAGGCTGTCTGAAAACAGGGAAAGCCTTCTGAAATGATCTATCAGGACATTCTCTCTCTGGAAGTCTTAGTGCTGGTTTGAACTGAGCTTTTTGCCTGATTTCTTTCTGCTGAGAGAGTTTTAACTCAACATCTAAACATGACTGAGGAGAGCAAGTCTAGAAAAGAGCCCCCAGCTTTTCTGTTGCCCCTTGTGCCATTTATGAGGGGGGTGCTGGGCAAGATGTGTCAGGAGTTGTCAGGCTGGAGCTGTGTCAGGGAGGGTCAGGTTGGATCTCAGGGAAAGGTTCTTCCCCCAGAGGGTGGTTGGGCACTGAACAGGCTCCCCAGGGCAGTGGGCACAGCCCCAAGGCTGCCAGAGCTCCAGGAGTGTTTGGACAACGCTCTCAGGGACAGGGTGGGATTTTGGGGTGTCCTGTGCAGGGCCAGGAGCTGGACTGGATGATCCTTGTGTGTCCCTTCCAGCTCAGGATATTTTATGGTTCTGTTATTCCTTTCCCTGCTGCCTGATGCCAACACGTGGGTAATGAGCATTTACTGCAACCAAGGTCCTTTTCCTACAGTATTAAATGTCTGGGTTTCTACAGGATGTGTCACCAGGAATATGGTTCCCCCAAGGCACTTTTTTCCTCATGAAGGAGCAAGAAGGTGACTCACCCAGACACTTCAGAAAGCCAGTGGCTTAAGGAGAGGGGCAGATGCCATTTCATCATTGTCTTGAACAAATCATTTGCCTGTATTTGCATGATGAGTCCTTTGAACTTATATCAAGTGTTTGTTTTGATACTGTGTGAGATTATTTTTGGGAAGTGATGTGCTTTCAGGAACTGAGCCCACTAGCTGGGCATTTTAATTATTCAAAGCTAATAAATATCAGGCAGTGTTTGTGCCTTTTGTAGTGAACATCCTGTGTGTGTGTGTGTGCAAAACATGTCAGTGGGATGAGATTGCATTGGGATGGGAAGGGCAGGTGGGCTTGTGCTCAGGGCTGTGGGAATACTTGGCTCCTTTTTATTCCACATCCAGGGCACTGATTTTTAAAGGTGTTTCCATTTATTATTGTGTGGTTTGACATGACAGGTCAAAGGGGCTGAAACATAGAATATATGCCTGAAAACACGTGCTGTGTGTGCAGACAGAAGTTGTCTGCTGTTGGCAGCAGCTCATCCTGCTGTCACAGGGAAGCCCTGAGATGAATTTCAGGAGTAAATTAAGTTTTGCACCGGAACGGTGTCGCAGAAAATAAAACCTCACTGGCTTAAAATTCTGCTGAAACATTATCATTCGGGTTTATATGTGTTTAATTTAGTGCCCCAGGGTGTCTGTGCTGTGCACTTTGTTCAACCCTTTCCCAGCAGGCACCTGAATTCCAGCCTGGTCCATCAGCTCTGCAGAGCTCCTGATTGTCAATGTTTTTCATACTTGATGCTGTATTTTTCCTGCTTTGTTTCCTCAGTCTGTGAGCCAGTTGTGCAGCCCACACTGTACACAAACTTGATGTATCTCTCCTTTCTTCCTTGTTCCTCTGCAGGTTCCCATGATTCTGGTTGGCAATAAATGTGACCTGGAGGAAGAGCGAGTCGTTGGCAAAGAGCAGGGCCAGAACTTAGCAAGACAGTGGTGTAACTGTGCCTTTCTAGAATCATCTGCAAAGTCTAAAATCAACGTAAATGAGGTAACTATCAGCTGCTCCCCTGCCTTTCCGACTCGAATGTGACATCAAACCAGCACATCTCTCTCCTAATTGGGAAGATTCAGGATGATTCTGAATTCTCAGCCTGAGAAAGGTTTGCCATGCAGTGTATTTAGCTACTTTCTGTTTGTTTTAAGGAGATCTGCTCCTTTTAGTCTGTAGAGGGTGGGTGACTTTCCAGGTAAGAGTTTTCTTACTGGGAATAGCAGAGGGTCCTGAACAAGCCTGGTGAGCTGGATGACTCTCAGCTCAGATAAACTTTATCTGCAAAGTGTATTTCTTCAAGATAACTGCTGCTATTCTGGACGTGGGTTATGCCCCACTGTGTTGCTTGTCCCGTTGTGTAGTGCTGGCTGGTTTTGAACTATTTGCATTTCACATTCCTGCTCCGTCTGGCTGCTCCAGGAGTCTCCCCACCTCTCTAAGCCACCAGCTCTCTAAGACTGTGCCCAAACACAGATCCAAGCAGCTCCCCAACTTTAAATGAGCTTAAATGAGCTTGGCTCTTGCCCTGGAGTGCCTTCTCCTGCCTCCTGGGGCCGTGGGGTTGTGCTGAGGGAGCTCTGCTCCGCGCCGGGCCCCAGGTTTTTATTCAGCGCCGCGAATTATCTGCCTGTGACAGAGGCCAGGTTTGCAGGCACAAAAGCTAAGGTGACCCCGTGCAGCGAGGCTGGTTTGGTGCCAGCAGATAACTGGGAGCGTTTAGGAGGCTGGGAGATAAGCAGGAGCAGCAGGATCTTGGCCTGGGCCCAGGGCTGGGTTGGCAGCCGGAGGGACGTGCCCGCGCTGCATCGAGCCGGTTCAGAGGGAAGGGAGCTCCGGGCTGCAGGAATTGCAGCTTCTGTGCCTGGGATTAGCCTGGCTGGAGAGCATTGATCCAGCCCAGGAAATAGGGCTGAGCCACACTGCTGCCAGGAGGGGTTTATCTGGGGGTGTGTGGCTGAGCTGTAGTAAAACTGTGGCTGTTAATGAAGGACCGAGCGGCTCTGCCCTCAAACACCCCCCAGAGCTGGGTTATTTGTGTTTCTGCAGCTGGTGGTGTGACACTGACCTCTCATCAGCCAAAGGTGCCTCAGCCCAGGGTGGGAAAAGGGGTTCTGTGGTGGGCAGAGCCCTGAGCTGTCCCAGCTTTACATCCCCCCATCCCTGACGGGTGAATCCCGGGTCTCCCCGTTTCCCCGCAGCCTCCGGTGAGATCAGATCACAGAGAGGAAAACGATTGTCTGGAAGATTAGCTTCTGGTTTCATTGTGATCTTCATTTTTCTGGGTTCCTGCCAGTTTATGTTGTCTGGTTGTGAAAAGTGTAAAAGCTGAGGAAATCAAAAGAGGAGACACACTGTGAATGAAGCAGCTCGGTGCTCTGGTTGTTTGTCCTGCTGGCCTGTGGGCTGAGGGAGTGTTGGCATTACTTTGGGTTTTGTTTTTGCTTTCATGCTACTTTTGGACTTTCTAACCCTTGTTAAATTCTGGGTGAAGGGTGCTAAATTTCTATGTGCATTTGCTGAATGTGAATCAAACCTTTCATCCAAATAATAAAGCTTTTAATCCGGAGGGTGAGTCTTGGTAGCAGCACATCAAGTGTCCTTCTGGTGACCTCTGAGATGTTCTTGCACCACACTGACTTTTTTAGGGATGGTGGCATTTCTGAAACCTTGTTGCAGACTCCCGTACTCACAGTCAGTACTGGCACTTCGATAATCTAATTTATTACAAAGGAAAATCCTAAAATTTCCAGTTGTTGCATTATGCTATAAACTGTTTCTTTGTCTTCTGAATTTCCTTGGAATCAACAAGAATTTGTGAGCTTTCAGCCACTCCAGGAAGGGAAAAAAGTAAACAAGGACAAGGGTGGAGCCTTCTGAAGGTTGAAATATTTCTCCTCAGTGCTGTGACCCAGCTCCAAGCTTTTTTGCAAAGCTCATTTCGCTATAAATGGGTTGAGTATTGCTGGGAAAACAACTCACAGCAAGAGCCTTCACAAGAAACTCCGTCTCTGCAGCTGAAAGAGGGCCCTGTAATCGTCCCCTTCTGGAAATGTCGGAGTTCAGGGCAGATGTTTGGAGGGAGAAAGCCAAGGAAAAGGGCTGCCTGCCCTTTCCCTGCAGTGGGAATACACTGCTGCTGGTGGAGCAGTGCTCTGCAGACACTCCCCAGCCCGAGGATGCCAGTGAGAAGATGATCCTTAAGGATATTATGCCAGTCTTAAAAACCCTTTTATTACTCCACGTTTTTTTTCCCACTTTTCCAAAGTAGGGGAATCGTTTCCATTTCATTGCCAGGCTCTTCTGAAGCCTTTGGTCATGATAAACTGAGTTTACAGCTCCCCTATGTTCTGCACACTGGTGTGAGCGCTGTGTCTCTTGTTCCATAAGCAGCTGCTTGAGAAACGTGGCTTAGTAAATTCAAACACTTTAATTGAATTTATGCAACTGCAGCCACCAGGAAAGAGTGGCAGCTCCCCAGCCTGCCTTAGCTGTGACACTTGGTGTTTTATCACTTGGGTTTTTCAGCTTGTGTTTTTCATTTTCAGATCTTTTATGACCTGGTCAGACAAATAAATAGAAAAACACCAGTGGAAAAGAAGAAGCCTAAAAAGAAATCATGTCTGCTGCTTTAGACTCCCATCATGCAGCAGCTCTGAGCCAGGTAAGAGGGGTCTGAATTCTACCTGTGGCTCAGGTGAGCTGCTCCTAACAGAAAGGACTCTCTCCCCTTCCCTCTGCTCCTCTTCCTTCTGTCTGCTCCCAGATAGGGAATTCAAAAGTCACTTTTGCTGACTGACCTGGCAGGGAAATACCTGCTTCTCTCCCTTTCCCTTTTTGCTTGGGTTGATGAGTGTGACAGAGCAGGAGCTTCCTTTTGACTCCTGCAGGTTCTCCCTCTGGGTTGTGACAGGGAGCTCTGAGCCCCCCTGGCTCAGTTTTGCTTCCTTTTCATCCTCTTGATGGCATTTGGTAGCATCTGTGTAACTTCTGTTACTGTCTCAGTCCTGGGTGCTTTGGGGACAGTTAAAGTTGGGTTGGGTGGGACGTGGCTTTCAGTGGCACAGAAATAAAAAGCTGCCCACCAGAAAAAGAAAAACAACAAAAAACCCAAACACACACACACAAAAAAAAGAAAACACCCAAAAAAACACCCCAAGGTTGGACAGAGCTAAAAATAATCTTCCTGTGTATCTTGGCAGGGAACTCTGTGTGCTTACAGCTGTTCTGTCGTGCTCCTGAAAGGAAACAGCAGCTCTGTAGCTCCAGGTTTTGGACAGAAATATCCCTGTTTGGAGGCAGAGCAGGGAGCTGGGTAATGGCCCATCTCTGCCACGTGTCTGTGTCACCATGGGCTGCACAGGCTGTCACCTCAGGAGGGTTTCTGTGACCCAGCAGAACCTCTGTGCTCTGTCCTGCAGTTGATCAGAAGGCACAGTGAGCTGGCAAAGCAGCTCAACTGCCCTTGTCCCACAGCATTTAAGACAAAGCCGTGGTCTTAGAAGGATTTCAGGGATGAATTCCTCTGAGGTCCATGCTGTAGGTGGTCATTTGGGCAGCCTGGGTGTGACTGAGCAGCAGAGGTGGAGCTGTGCAGGTAACCTGGCTGCTGCTGGGCTTCCCTGGGGGATGAGGCTCTTACCTGAGCTCTGGGCTCCAGAAAACAACAGCTCAGGGCTGGGGGGGAACAGTGGCTTTAGGAGTAGAAATGGAAGAGTCTTAAGTGGCTTTTCCTGCTGCTCAGGTGATCGTCTGAATTGAGCTGGTGTGGTGTCAGATCCCCCAGCCCAGGATGGGACCTGCTCAGTGCTGGACTGGCACAGCTCTGCCTGGGATCCTGCACACAAAGCCCAGCCCAGCAGCAGCCTGGCACTGGAATACTGGGAACTGCTGAGGGAGTTCCTGCATTCAGTCAGTTATCCCAGAATGGTTTGGGCTGGAAGGGACCTTAAACCTCCTTCCACCCCCTGCCATGGGCAGGGACACCTTCCACCAGCCCAGGTTGCTCCAAACTCCATCCAGCCTGGCCTTGGACACTTCCAGGGATCCAGGGGCAGCCACAGCTTCTCTGGGCACCCTGTGCCAGGGCCTCCCCACCCTCTCAGGGAAGAACTACTTCCTCACATCCAACCTAAATGTCCCCTCTTCCAGTTTGAACCCATTCTTCTTCGTCCTGTCCCCGTATAAAAAGTCCCTTTTCCTCCTTTTTAGAAGCCCCTTTGGGCACTGGAAGGGGCTCTGAGGTCTCCTGGAGCCTTCTCTTCTCCAGGCTGAACACCCCCAGCCCTCCCAGTCACTGATACCCCTTCACTGACTCCTGCCCATGCCCCCAAATCCGCTCTGGATGGTCAAAATCCCACAGTGTCTCCCTCACTCTGCCCAAATCTCTTCCCAATTCCCTGCCTGTTGTTTGCAGCTGGATTACTGCTCAGGTCTTTGGACTCATTAGGCTTTAAGAGCAGAAATGCAAAAGCTGAGATCCCTCCCCCCCTAAATTGTCCATCCATGGGTGAATTCCAGCCCCCTTTGCCTGGCTCTGCCTCACAGGGTGGGTGCTCGAGGGGCACTGGGTTATCACAGCAGTGACACACGGCTGCCAGTTGGTTGCCACTGCTTTGTGGCCCTGATAAAACAAGAATATCTTTCTTAGAATTGTGCTTTCCAAAGCCTCTTCGCTGTCTGTACCCAGGAACAAACCCAAATTCTGGGAAAAACAAGCTCTTCTGCTGAATTTCTGTGTGTTTTACCAGCCTGGGCACGGGAAACTTTCAGGCCTTTGGGGTCATTCATCTCATCAGTAAAATAAAAAAAATATCCCTCCACCATCTTTTATTTTTTTATTATTTTACTTTCTCCAGATGGAGAACTGTTGCCTAAATGGGAACAAACCCCAATTCTGGGAAAAACAAGCTCTTCTGCTGAATTTCTATGTGTTTTACCAACCTGGGCCCGGGAAACTTTCAGGCCTTTGGGGTCATTCATCTCATCAGTAAAATAAAAAAATATCCCTCCACCATCTTTTATTTTTTTATTATTTTACTTTCTCCAGATGGAGAACTGTTGCCTAGATGGGAACAAACCCCAATTCTGGGAAAAACAAGCTCTTCTGCTGAAGTTCTGTGTGTTTTACCAGCCTGGGCACTGGAAACTTTCAGGCCTTTGGGGTCATTCATCTCATCAGTAAAATAAAAAAATACCCCTCCACCATCTTTTTTTTTTTTTTAATTTAATTTTATTTTATTTTATTTTATTTTTTACTTTCTCCAGATTGCAGGAATGAAGAACTGTTGCCTAAAAATGGAAAGTGCCAGCATTCCCGACTTCAAAAACCTTATGGAAATTAATGACATATCGGAAGAAGCTTCTCCTGTTGTTTTTTTTTTTTTTTTTATATATACTACGAGAAGAATTTAGATCTTAAAAAAATGGTTTGCACACACAGTCCCTGGAAAAAAAGAAAAAACAACAACAAAAAAAAAAAAAGGCAATTGCTCTGTGTATATCTCTTGGAAATTTAAGCCAATATTCCTCCTCCTTTGCAATAGCAATTAACAGATGTGAAAATAAATATAATTGACTCTAGTGTATGATTATCCCAAGGAGCATGGATGCATTTCAAATGTTAGAGATTGCTACTATAATTAAAATTTCATATTGACCATTTTATCATCATTTCTCCCCATCAAGCACTAAAAATGTTCCACTGTTATATTTTATATCTATAACCATAGATATATATTATGTGAAATCTCCCTTTGAACTCACCACAGCAAATAACTTTTTGAGTCATTGACTTCATTTTATATTTAAAAGTTACGGAATATCATTATTTTCATTCTGCCATTATATTCTAATTAAAAATGTTTGTGCATAATGCTTTGGAAAAAATGGGTCTTTTATAGGAAAAAAAAAACAAACCTGGGATAACTGATTTCTATGGCTTTAAAAGCGAAAATATATAATATACTAAACCAACTCTAATATTGCTTCTTGTGTTTTCCTGTCACAGATTAAATTACAGCTTTTATGAATGATTAAATTTTAGTACATTTTCATTTTTTTTGTTTCTGTGTTTTTGTTACGGTTTCCAGACTTTTTGGGTTGGTTTTCCTTTTTTTTTAATCCATGTTTTGTGAACTCCTCTCCCATCCTGGCAGATTTTGTCACGACAGACCCCGCCCTGTCCTTGCCACGGCTCTCTGGGTTGTACAAAAAGTACAGCAGGCAACTTTAAATTAATTCTGTGCATTCTTCTGGTTGTTTAAAGTTTGTATTTCTGCTGGAGACATTTCCTCTGTACACTTATTTTCTGCTATGTACAAATTTCGTGCTGTACCAAGGCCTGACTGACAATGATTTTGGTTTCACCCCTTGTTTGGGGACAGTCCCTGTTTTGGCTGCTGGTCCCTGATCAGCTAAAAGGAGGGGTTTTTAATTTCATTTTGGGTTTGTTTCTTGTACATTTTTATTTTTTTTTTAAATACCTGTTGGTTTCATAAAGCTTCCAAGAGCAGGATATGAAGAGAGCCGTGGGTGCTCCATCCTCCTGTCTGTGTGCAAGTCAAAGAGCCTCCCGTGGGACCCAAATCCCATCCCTGCCAGAATTCCCACAGGGCTGGGGGACTTGCTCCTGCTTCGCTTCTGAGTAAGTGAGAAGAGAAATGTATCTTCACAGTGGAGAAAACTCAGGCCAGGCCTTGTCCCGCTGGTTTAAACGGGAAATCAAAGTGTAACAGATGTTCCTGGACCCGCTGTAGAGTTTTATTGGAAACGGGGGGGGGGGAGAAATTTCTATAAATAGGTTTTTTTTTTCTAAAACTGTGTTCCTGATGCAGCTGTTGAATTATACAGAGATCCCAGTTTCTAAGAGCAGCCCAAACAAGACTGGTTGAAAACATCTGGATAATGTGAAAACATCTGCCTAACTTACAAGCTACTAGGACAAACATAGTTACTTTAGCTGGTTGTCTTCAACCTTCCTCTGTGCTTCCTTTTTCGGGAGGAGCAGGAGCATGGTGTTTGCAGGTTGGTTATCTTTACTAAATGTAAAAATATTTTAGTAATAAAGTAATTTTAATGAACGTGCCGATTGCTAGATGTGTCTCTTCTATAAAACCAGAAACTTAAAACCTTAATTTTTTTTTTTTTTTTTTGAGAGACAGGGACGGTAGGGAAGGTGATCAAAATAATCTCTTTAACAAAATAATCTCATTTTAGAAATGTGAAACCTCATCTCAAAAATGCGAAACCTCGTCTCAAAAATGCGAAACCTCATCTCAAAAATGTGAAACTTCGTTTTATAAACTTTTATAAAACTTCCAGTGTGTTTTCTGTGGCAGAACCAGCTGCTGGCAATGCTCAGCCTTCTGGCACTTTTCCACCTCACTCCTCAGCCTCCTCAGCCTCGTGTCTCCCAGTTTGGATCTCCCCGCAGTTTAACTGGTCAGGCTGGTGAAGGCAAGTCCAGCCTCTCCAGTGGCATTTTTTCCCTGTCCCAGGATCTTCCTGGAGCGCTCAGGACTCACTCCCAGGCCCCGATCCCGTGTCTGAGGGTCCCCGCGATGGGCTTTCTGCTCCATCACCTACAAAACCTGGAGGGGTTTGCAGTCGATGGTGGCTTCCCAGGAGAGGCGGGAATGGCAGGATTTGCATCCCTGGGATGCAGAAGGAGTAGTAAATTGGGTGTAAGGGATGGAGGAAGAGGTGGGGACGCTTCCCGAGCCTCTCGGCTTTGCCACTAGATGGTGGTGTCGGAGAAGCTCCGGGCTGGTGGAGGCTCCGGCTGCGGTTCCACCGGAATTCAGGTTATTTGCAGGGTGAAGCCCCGTTTCCCATCACTCCCCCAGCCCCGGGACCCTCGGTGCGCTCCCCTCTGCCTCCCACAACGCGTTGTTTTCTCACTGGATAAAAAAAAAACCAAACCAACAAATCTCTAATGGATTTCAGCACAAAAGCCCCAATTCTGCCCCGGGACACACTCGAGCCGCCGCGTTGTTTCGTGTCAAACAGAAATGTCCCGGAGCACCGGGGGGTTAATGTTTCACCGGGTTAAGGACGACTTCACTGGAGAATGTCCTCAAGAAAGGGTGAAAGGAAAACCTCCCAGGAGGAGTCACACGCTGCTGCCTTTGACCATCCAGCCGAGCAAAGCGACACTTGGCTGCGGGCAAAGGAGCACATTTAAAATCTCACTGAAGCCCCAGAGCCATCCAGCTCCTCTCTGAGCTGCTGGAGTGTGCACAGATTCCACCGAAGTGATGCCCTGCCCTCTGTGCAAACAGGCTGTTCTCGAACTCCTCAGCCCGTGTTTATTTTTTGTGTCACCTAAAGGTTGTTTTCAGTCACGTTTTCCCGCCCGGTGTGGGTCGGATCAGGTGGTAACAGCCCGGTGCCACACGTCCTGCCTCGCTGGGAAGATGCAATTTGGGTTTTGACCCGAATGCACCAGTAAAAGAAAGAAGAATGTCATTTTTGGAGAGTGTGGAGATGCTGGTGCTCCTGTGGTTTCAGAGAATCGTGGAGTATTTGGGGTTGGAAGGGACCTTAAAGCTCATCTCAGTTCCACCTCCTGCAGGGACACCTTTCCCAGGTTGTTCAGATCCAGTGGGCTGATGTGGGAGGTCTCACATCCAGCAGCCACTCAATGAGAAACTTAATTCATGTTAAATTCAGCACTAACCTTTGCAAAATCACCCAAACTAATGAATATTTCATTTATTTTGCCAGGATTAGGCACTGAGGAAGCGAAATCGGATTTTCCAGAGGCCCAGGTGCCGTTTGGTGAATTGCTGGCACGTGCTGGCTGCCCTGGCTGGGGCTAAATGTCCTTCCCATCCTGCTGGCTGGGGTTGGGATCTGGCACTGCTTTCCCTGCAGCAGCTGGTCAGTGCTCTGGCTTTCAGCCACAGCCTTGTCTTTCCCCCTGGAAAGAAAAGCCCCGAATTTGGAGACAAACCCTGTGCAGGAGGAGGGAGAGGAGCCGCCCTGGAGGATCCCCAGCAGCCTCAGGAACAAAAAAAGAACGTGCCCAGCAGTGAAACCAGTGCTGGGCTGGGTGCCCGGGGCCTTTCCTGGCTTTTTAACTTGGATTGTTGCCAGGGAAGGCCTCCAGCAGCCAAGGTACTGCGTGGGCTTTTGTGCTGGGGTTTTGTGCTGGTTCCCCCCACCCCTCACCTGGAAAAGCAGTGTCCCTTCCAGGAGGGTGGTGCTGTGAGCAGGGAATGCTCCTGCCTGTGCCTTGGAGGGGTTCCTGCTCCTCCTGGGCCCCGCAGGAATGTCCTGCCCGTGGTGGGAGCTGGGGATGGGCAGCTCTGGGCAGTGAGTGCCCCTGGAGTGGGGGGCTCAGCAGCCCCAAGCCAGGGCTAATCAGCCCTTCTGCAAGCTCAGGGCAGCCCTGGCACAGAGCTGCTCCTGGCAGGGGCCGGGCTCTTTAGCTCAGTTACTAATCCCAGGGTTGGGAAACGCTGTTTGTGTTATCCTGGGACTGAAACAAGCCTTTTCTCCCTCGCTTTGCAGGGAAGTGGCACAGAAGTAAACTCAGCTCATTGCTCATGTCAGAGGCCAGAGCAGTGAGTGGCACCCCATGATCCATGCTGTCCTGGATCCTCTGTCCATGTTGTCCTGGATCCTCTGTCCATGCTGTCCTGGATCCTCTGTCCATGTTGTCCTGGATCCTCTGTCCATGCTGTCCTGGATCCTCTGTCCATGTTGTCCTGGATCCTCTGTCCATGCTGTCCTGGATCCTCTGTCCATGTTGTCCTGGATCCTCTGTCCATGCTGTCCTGGATCCTCTGTCCATGCTGTCCTGGATCCTCTGTCCATGCTGTCCTGGATCCTCTGTCCATGCTGTCCTGGATCCTCTGTCCCTCATTGGAGGGAGCAGCACCAGAGGAAGACGAAATCGTTTGGCAGAGATTTTGGACAAGTCCCTGGTGGAGCTGGAAGTGCAGCCCCTGCTGGAGTTGGAGATGCCCATCCTGACCTGGCCCTGCCAGCTCTGGACTCGACCCTTTTTGCCCCACAGGCTTTGGGGACACAGGGGTTGCTCAGATGAGCCCTTTTCCCCCGGGCTGGCCCCGGAGTTCAAACATCCCTGGCATTTTCCTTGGGTGGCACCGACGTTCCAGGCCAAGAGCCAGCCCAGGAGCCAGCCCCCCCCTTCCTGGCACGGCTGGGGGTGCACAAGGAGCCCGTTGTGCTGCCAGGGAGGATGCTGAGGGAGGATGCTGGAGTGCTCCGTGCCCACGTGGGCGGGGTGGCAGCGCAGGGGGTGCGTGGTGGCAGCTGCTCCTCCTTCCACGGCCCAAAATCAAGGAACAAAGGACAAATTCATGGGGCTGGGAGTGGCTCCCCGTGGGCTGAGCACACTTAGAGCATTGTGGAGCTGGGAGAGGCAGCGCTGGGCAGCCCCTCACCCCCACAGTGGGTGACCACCCCTGTGTCCTGCACCTTTGCCGGAGGCTCCCGGGATCCATTTCCATGGAGGGCTGTTTTTCAGCCAAAGAAACCTGAGAAACCCCTGGCTCTCCTTCAGAGCAACCCCATGGAGAGCAGCCCAGCTCCCCTGCAACACAGAAGTTTACCATAATCCTGCCTTTTCCCCCCCTGCAGGTGTTTCACATATAAATCAAGTTTCTCGCTCCCATTTTGGGGGAGCGATGGTGGAGCTGAGTGAAAGGAAGCAGTGTTGGAGCTCTGCTGCCCTTTCCTACCCAGGTGGTTACAAATCACTGCATAAACTGCCTTCAGCTCCCTTCCACCTCCACTCACCCTCCCCGTGGTCAGAATGTGGATCCAACACTTTGAGGGCCGCAGACATCCAGCATCCTACTCCCATTTTTCATTTAGCTCTGGAAATAAGCAGTGTCAAGCTGCTGTGTCAGTTTGGCTTAAATTCACAGGAGAACTCATTTGATTTGGAGCCGTTTGCGTTATTAAATATGACTGCACGAGAGCCCCTGGGGGATAATCCTTTATGATAAATGATGTTTGAAATGAGGGAGACCCGATCCCGGCCGGCTCAGGCTCCAGTCACAGCTAATCTGCAGCAACAAGG